AACGCATATTGACGAGAGGTTGTCTCTGTGTGTGTTTGTGTGTCTGTGTGCGTGCAGGGCCTCTGTACCGATTCTTCATCTCGAGACCTACAAAAGCTACGGGGCTGAAACTTTGGGGACTTAGTCTACATGCACGTATGGGCTCCCATCCCCAAAATGGGCGGTCTTACCCGCGTGATACCCACGTAAGAATCCGCCAAAGTTTTTTACGGTTCTTATTTATTCCTATAGCACTCATGAACCAGAAATGCTTGAGGGCTGAAGTTTTAAGGGGATGTCCCCCGTCCAAGTAGATATTAATGAACTCAAACCCAGCCCCCGGGTGAGCGTGGTACCCGTGTACGTACCCGCCAAAATTTTTTTCGGGTAAGTTGATAACTCGGGAATTTGAAAAGCTGAAGGACTGTAATTTTAAGAGGATATTTCCTATCCATCTAAGTCTCATTTACCTCAAACCCAGCCCCCGGGTAGGCGTGGTACTCGCGTACGAGCCGCCAAAATTTCGTTCGGATAACTTCATAACTCGGGGGTCTGAAATGCTAGAAAGCTGAAATTTTAGGAGAATTTCCCCTGTCCAAGTAGGTATTAATGAGCACACACCCAGCCCCGGGTAAGCTTAGTACTCGCATATGGTCCCGCCAAATTTTTTTTCGGGTAAGTTGCTAACTCGAGGACCTGAAGAGCTAGAAGACTGTTCCCCATCCACCTAAGTCTCAACGAGCTCAAACCCAGACATCGGGTATGCGTGGTACCCACGTACGGCTCGTGAAAGTTTTCTTCCGTAAGTTGCTAACGCAGGAGCCACGAAAGCTAGAAAGCTGAAATTTTAAGGGGATGTTTTCCAGCAGTTCTGTCGGCCAGTCTTAATTTGTTTAGTAGAAGCATTTGCGGGAAAAACTGGTGCCGGTAGCGACAAAAATTACGGGGAACTGTGCAAACAACGCATCTTCGCACAGGCAGCCCGTGCGTTGGCTAATTATTACTGCTTTCTATGTGGACGCAGTACACTAACGCAGATTTTGTGCTGTTTCCAAGTTGATGCATCATGCCGCCAAAAATGTTGCTTGTTTTCTGTTGGTCATGAAAAAGTTTTTTAAAGGATGGAATGATTTTCAGCGAGGTCGAGATTTGTGCGGCGAGGGTATTCTGGATTTTTATACGACGGAGTGGGACTCTTATCGATTTAGTTCCAAAGTGGTCGGTGGAATCTTCAGCTACCTCAATCGTCACTGGATCAAGCGTGAACTGGACGAAGGAAATGATGACATCTATGAAGTCTATGTTGTAAGTTCATTTTTTTTTTTGCACTGAAGAAATCTGTCACTTGATATAAAAACTTCAAGTTTTTGTCCAGATATTACCAGGCGTTGTA